TTCTGTGAAATAAAAGATTTAATACCTGTGCACGTTGGAAAACAAACATATATCAGAGCATCTTAATCCGTCAACTGATAAGTCGGTTGGACTCTAACAGACAGCTTCCCTGGACGAAGTTAATGTCGTCTTACATAAAACTGTGACTCTGAATCTCAACTGAACTGAACTCTTTCTTCACCTCCATTGTGGATCGTTGCCATCCATGATCTCTGAGTGTCTTCTCTCCTGATTCAAGTTGATGATGTGACATCTTAGTTGCTCTGTGTCGTGCTGAACTTGAAGTGGATGACTTGAATAGTTAATAGATTGTTATATCAGACTTGATGTTCTATTCAGCTCTCTCTGTCTCTCTCTGTCCCTCTGTGTTTATCCCCATGACATCCTCTGACTGTTTCTCACTGCTCTCCCTCTTCTCTCAGGAGCAAGAGTTTCTACAGAAGCAGCAGCAGGACCTGGACGGAGCTCTGAAGAAAATCATCCAGCAGCATAAACTGGAGATCGCCACTATCGAGAGGGATTGCCTCAACCACAAGCAACAGCTGATGAGAGGTACGAGCTGGAGAAAAACCCACTAAAGATATATGACAGCTTCCTGTTTAAAAAGTAAACCAGTCTCTTAAATGTATTGATTCAACTTGAACCTTCTATGTATTTTAGTGTAATGTGAAAGTAATGTTGTTGAAACTTGTTGGACACGTGCCAGTCACAATAAATTAAATATTGGTGAAAGAATCAACTGATTGAAAAACAAGATGATATTTCTGTTTCTGATTTCCTCAGATGAAGGAATCAAAGCAACAGACTGTTATCAACCCCTGCCTAAATTAGATTATGGTTCAATTTGAAGAAAAAGGCAACATGATCTGGATCCTCTCTCAAGCAGCAACAACTCAAACATCAAAACCAAGTCTCACCTTAGACAAACATGAAACCAACAGCAGCATGGAATTTGAAAAAGAATCGTTTTTAAACTCTTGATTTACTCTCAGTTCGTACAGTGAATGTTAGCTGGCCCTCTTCTTCTCACCAGCATTGTGTAAAACTGACGTGGTCATGGAGGAAAATGAGTAAACACATGCTCTGTTTGAGGGAACATGTTCCAGCTTGTCTCACTCGCTCACAGTGTCGCCTGTCTCTGTTTGGTTTCATCACTCTACTAATGGCTTGTGTGCATGTACGTGTACGACAACTCACAGTTCCGTGGCCTCATGTGATGTTTTGCTGTCTTGTAGCTCGAGAGGCAGCCATGTGGGAGCTGGAGGAGCGCCACCTGCAGGAGAAGCACCAGCAGCTGAAGCAGCAGCTGAAAGACCAGTACTTCCTGCAAAGACACCAGCTGCTGAAGAGGCATGAGAAAGTAAGAACCCAGAGAGGAATCTGCGTGAAATGTGTGGTGTTGTTGAAGCGACCCAGCTGAACTCAAAGCTGTGTGTGTGTGTGCTTTCTGCAGGAGATGGAGCAGATGCAGCGCTACAATCAGCGGCTGATAGAGGAGATGAAGAACAAACAGACGCAGGAGAGGGTTCGTCTGCCCAAGATCCAGCGCAGTGAGGCCAAGACCCGCATGGCCATGTTCAAGAAGAGTCTCCGCATCACTGCCACGGCAACTGTCACCCCGGAGCAGGAGAGAGAGCGAATAAAACAGGTAGTGACACTGAGGCCCTGATGTCTCATTTGAGGAGAAGTTACTCAACATGCACAATCTTTTTTTAGCAACACCATGTCACATAAAGTCACACCTGGGATCTGTCCAACACAAACACAGTACTCCTGACTATCTCACCCCTGATCTCACACCTGCTTAACATCACCAGTCCTCTGGCTCGATCATCCTTAGAAATGTTGTTTCAGTTTTGTTCTGATAAAACCAGAGCACAGTATGTAATGTACATAGATTTTTGAGTTTCGAGTCAGTGTAGTAGATGTTTGAAATGGACCAGTTCCCTCACTTGTCCTGCAGCACAAGCAGACCTTGACCTTTCTGCCATAAAAAGACAGATCATTTGATAGTTTTGTTATGTGCAGCGTTTTACTCTATTTTGTTTGTTTGCTTCTTCCAGTTTGGAGCTCAGGAAGAAAAGAGGCAGAAGAACGAGAGACTCCAACAGCACCAGAAACACGAGAACCAGATGAGAGACCTGCAGCTGCAATGTGACTCAAACATCAGGGAGCTGCAGCAGCTTCAGGTGAAGCTATGACACACACACAATTATTTTTGCTTACCTGGTTTGTAGCACATTTTATTGGATGTAACAGGACGACACACCAAGTTTTAATATCTACATTATAAAATATCACCTAGATGAATTAAAAGCAGTGCCTTGGGTATTCCATTGCAGATAAAGGATGAATACATTAGGTGTTCTGAGTTAATCCAACTCATAAATGTTAAATTTTTTTCTTTTCTTGCAGAATGAGAAATGCCACCTTTTGATTGAGCATGAGACCCAGAAGCTGAAGGAGCTGGATGAGGAGCACGGCCTGGAGATCAAGGAGTGGAGAGAGAAGCTCAGACCCAGAAAGAAGGTAGATTTATATTTATATCTCTCGTACAGATTGTCTCTGCAGTCAAGCTGCTGTCAGGATTCAGCTCCTTCAGCTTTCTTTTCATCACGTCATGTTCATTGTGGTTGCCTCAGCTGTTTGTATCTGCTGCCCCCTGCAGGCGTTGGAGGAGGAGTTCACACGAAAGCTCCAGGAGCAGGAGGTCTTCTTCAAGATGAGCGGTGAATCTGAATGCCTTAACCCCACCACCCAGAGCCGAGTGTCCAAATTCTACCCCATCCCGAACCTGCACAACGCCGGTTTATAGCCTCACGACCGTCTGTGCTGCACAAACGGACTCCTGTCGAACTCGACCATGCTCACAGATGCTGCCTGGTGGTGGAGCAGCGTCGTTCCTCTGACAGTTAAGTGATCCAAAAATGAAAATGTCTCCACCTCTCTGATTCCAACAAGAGTGAGCATGACGTGCCTACACGCACACTTAAATCGTTTTTTCTCAGCTTGTTGAGAAAGTGTCCGAGGGATAATATGCACTTTTTTGAGCATGTTAAAAATTTTAACAGTCTGCAGTTGGTAGCTAAGCCCAATCCTGCTTATGAGAACATTGGAAGCACAGCCTGCTACAGTATGAATGATCTCCAGTGCCTCATATATTCTTTTTTTCTGCATTCAGACACTCCTCTGTTGGGTTTTCTTCAGCTTACAGTAAATACAGTGCCCCCTGAATGTGTTGCACTTAAATAACTTTTTATCATTTTCCCCCCGTGATCACAAATACATATTACTTAAGTTCACATGAGCTGCTGAATATTCCGAGATCCTGTTAAGCTGCATGGAAGGTGGAGCTGGTTCACAGGGAGATGTTCTGTGTATTCTAACTCGTGCAGTGTCTGTTGTTGCCATGAGAGAAACATGATCGCCATGTTGGGATCATAAGTCTGTGAGTTACAATAAAAAAGATTGTACTGTGTTGTAAATGAGTGAAACGTTACATGTCTCTACTTACATATGAAGTTAAATCACAACTTGTGCTTACCACAAAGATTTTACAGTCTTGAGAGATTAATGAACAAAAAAATAACAATTGCTTTCGCACATAATTTCACGTCAGTGCTGTTCTCCAAAACAAACATCTCCCCAGTTTGGTTAAACACAGCGGTGGCATGTGTTTCTTCCTTGAGAGTGAGAAAATCCTTTTTTTATATATAAAATATATGTATAAAATAAATCACTCAACCCTCTGGGAGTCTTTTTGAGCAGCGCTTGAACACGTGTGGAAACTAAAGGAATGTAAAGCCGTTGATTTGCACTGTTTTGCCACAAGAGCTGAAGAAAAGAAATATGCAGTTTAATCTGTCAAATTATTTTTGACAGCAAGTCACCTTCGTCTCACCCAAGCCCATTCTAATGTTTTTTTAATATATAATTTGACCTTGTCCCTGAGTATTTTATGACCACATGCAGTTTCCTGAACTCATATTCTTTGATGTATTGAAGCTGTAATCACTCACTATGCTGAGATCAGTGTTGTATGAGAGTTAAGATGCTGTATCTGTTACTGTATGAATTTCAGTGTGTGAGGAGACGTCCTTCGCTGTATTTTATGAGCAAAGTATTGATGGTTGACGAAAAGAGAAACTTATTTCGAGATTAAGATGATTATTTTATTTTGTCACTGCACTTCGTCAAGGCACGTTGTAATTTCTTTACGCTGACACCATTGAATTGTCATGAATGCTGGATTTACATTGGGGTTATTGGAGAACATGTGTTTTGAATTACACCCATAGATTTCAGATATTTTTTATTTTATTAAATTGCTGCATTTTAATCTGTTGTTCCGTTGTTATTCTACCACTATGGATATTCTTGGTATATACATTTTTTTGATGTCAGATCAAATGCATTTAAAATGTCCTTACAAATGGGATGGGGGTTTTTTTTTGTTTTTTTTGCTGTAAATAAAATATGGACTGTTAATCTGCGATGGTACTTTCTTGAAAACCCTTTTGAGATCAGTTTTAGTCATACACATACCAAGACTCACGAATCAAAAATATAGATTTATTGGTACGTCTTGATCAAATAAGTTCAATCATGTAAAACACAATCTGCTAACATTTTATAATTTAATGTGTTCAACACTTACAGGTAAAAAGAAAATATATGAATTTCAGTGTGGTCTTGTACAAAATCTTTCATTTATAAGTGATTACGAGTCCCTGTCTTTCAACCATGAGAAAAATGTGATTTAAAAACAAAAACTTTTAATGTGCGTCGACCCAAACCAACCCCACCTGTGCTCCGCAAACTGCCCTCGCTCTAACTGGGACTGTGTCGGCCTCTGATGATGGCATATCGCTTCATAAATTTAAGAAATGCAAATTGTTTTGGAATTTGTGTGTGGTGAATGATTGGACGACTTCCAGGGGTCTTAAAGACTGAAGGTTGGTTTAACTTACGTGGTTAATATTGCAATGGTTTGCCTTGATACAACATGTAACACTTAAAACAATATAATCCTCAATACAATATAATCCTCAATAGATACAACAATAAAAAAAGTACACCGGCGCTGGAGTCAAGCAGTAGAAAATGTTCAAACTAAAATATCAGCGATTTGCTTCCTATCACTTAAAAATAAACCCTCTCTTTGACAAAGCTGCCCCAAATGTTTGAATACAAGCTTCTAACTCAGCGAAATAAACATACACCCACATGTGAAAATGAAAAATGAAGCCTGTCTTATATAAACTGACCGGGAGCTGAACTCTTTACCTCTGCTGGAGTTTTAAAAGAAACTGATGCATTCTTTGGCCACATTTATTTTCTCTAACTGTCCTCGGACGTTTCTACAGATGGAAACAATAAGGAGCATTTTTTCTTTTTGACTACTTGCATTGCTACTGCTGCTGAATGCCTAAAAATAAAAAAGTGAAGTAAAATGGAAATGAAATCTGACATGATCCAGTGGTTTGTTAACCCTTCAGCCACCCGTTGCCGCAGGAGGACGCAGCTGGCGACGACGCAGCATTTTATTGACTGAGGAGAATGTGAGAAAACAGTGTAGTGATGAGTTGTATGTATTTTTACGTAAGGTCTTATGCAATGATTTGATGATATTTACCTGTGTCCCTCTTCTGCACTTTGTGTGGAATCTGGATCGTGTACGCCCCTGGTAATCCAGGTAAACCTGGCTGTCCAGGATCACCTGTAAACACATTCTCATTCAGACTCGCTCTGCATCTGTCAGTCGCTCCACTAAAACATTCAACTCTGTCGAAAACATACCCTTCTCTCCTCTGGGTCCTGGGTATCCTCTGTCTCCCTTTGGTCCAATGCTTCCTGGAGGACCGGGGATGGTGCCATAGGCTGCGGGAGAGCAAAAGCATAGAATCAGTCGTTATGAAGCAACATTTTCTGGCTTCACTTGTGTAAGTCTGAATTCTTTTCAGCTGCATTAACATCTAACCAGATACAGTATGTGGAAAATCATAACTCTGAGTCCTCACCTCTGAAGAATTCCATGAGGTCAGCCGTGACGTTGCCGTAGGACCCGATGACGCGGCTGTAACCAACTGGTCCGGGGGGGCCAGGTGGACCCGGAGGTCCTTGAATCGCTCTCACGTTCGTCCTCGACGGGCCCTCGACCAGATACTCCTGCAACAGGCCTTGATCTGCGGGAGGTTATTAGAAAACAGCACATTTGTAACAGAAATATTTAGAAGTCCAACACAGAAGAAAAGATTCTCCTGAGAAGTTTTCTTCAGTATCAAATCAATCCAGTAGTAGTTATTTATACACTCATTGATACATTACAAAGAGAAACTGCTAAAAGCGAATTCAACATATTTTTTTGTGTTGTGCTATAAATAATAATGAATACAATACAGACAAATAAATACTGTATATGTTGCAGCTGTAACTGACTCACTCCGGATGTAGTCGGTAACTTTCAAAGCAACGTTGGAGTAGTCCAGCGTCTCACTGAGTTTGCTGATGTCTCTCTGATCAGAGCGCAAGCGGGCGTCACCCTGAGAGTAACTCTGGCTCTGCACGTAGCTCTGGCTGTAACCCGGCTCGCCGCGTTGCCCTTGAGGTCCCCTTGGTCCTGGAGGTCCGGTGGGCCCCGGAGGTCCGGTGATGTAACGACGTACATTGTCACCTTGGGAAAAAAAGGACACTTGTGATGTGTGGACAGATATGCATGCTTATATTTTATGAATGCTTCAACACAGCAGAGGCAGCGTTCTGAAGGTTGAAGTGGGTCACATGTCTTACTGGTCAGATACTCCTGAACTTCAGCGCGGATACTCTCCCGAGGGAGGTTTCCACTGTAGGAAACCGAGCCAGAGTAACTGCCTGGTGGACCCTGTGGACCAGGAGGACCAGGAGGACCAGGAAGACCCCTGAATCCCGAACCTGAAGGATTACAGTCAAAGTTATTGTCATTGTGAGGGTAGAGGGTGTGTCAGTTCACTGTGGCATCACTGTTGCTCTCACATACATTATAGAAATTAGTGTCATTTATGAAGCATCTACTTTTTGTTCACTGATCATTATTTTGAAGAATTTGTGGATAGAGGATCAAGATTCAAATGCAGATTGATTGTGAAATAAATCAGGGTTATCCTTTAATGTTTAGAGATCAAAGTGATTTGAAAGAATACAACATATTATTATTTTCATTGACCTCCATCAAGAAGGTGATGGTTTCGTTTCTCTCCATTTGCTTGTTTGTTGGTTGAGAATTATGCAAAAACAGATTTCCACATAACTCAGTGGAAACACAGGATATGTGTCAAGAAAGAACCCATTAACTTTTCACATGGACATTTTATATCAGTTTCTTTAAATTGGGAGATCGGGTGTTTTTGACATTTTGACTGATAAATAATTCATGAATCTTGGTGGAAACATCAGACATGATATTTATGTTTGTGCACTTTAATGCAGATCCAGATAAAAAAAGTTACAAATGGTTTGTCAACCTTTTCACTCATTGATTAAATGTTGTAATATCATATTGTTCAGTTATTGTCACTGATATTTGTCTTGCAATTTTTTTGTGGGCTACCAGTACAAGCCTGATGAACACCACCAAGCTAAACGTGTTCAGTACATTGACAGGTTTGTTTTCAGGGTTTTCTTTTGACGCACTACACACGTCTCTGAAAGCTTTTATTTCCTGCGGTTGGGGACTTGAACTAATTAGAAATGCAGGAAAACACCCTGCCTTTGGTTTATGTTTTCAGGAAATTGAAGTTTGTTTTGCTATAAATGATATAAATGTTTAATCCTGTTTTCGGAATCATATATAATATATTTTCTCAGGGAGGTAGTTACGCTCAGACTTTACCTCTTTTCTACCTCTTCTACATATAATTACTGCTAATATTTCATCTTAGATAAAATACATAATAAGTGTTTGTTTTTTTCTGTTGTCAGATTCAACATTACTGTCACATTGAATTGCTGCATTGAACTTGTCTAGTTGTTGTTGTTGTGTAATATTAAATGACATCAGTGATTTGTCATTGTTCCGTCACAGCAGACACACAAAGTAACAGTCAGCTTACAAGTGTTTATACAGCAGATCATCCTGTGGGTCAGACTCACCCTGCAGGTGGCGCTGAATGTCCTCCATGCTGTAGCCACGAGCTCCCGCCCCCAACACGGTGGCAGTGGAGACTCCTGGTGGCCCCTGAGGACCAGGAGGGCCAGTCAGCCCTGGGACACCTGGAGGTCCAGGAGGACCTTGTTGTACGGCAGAGTTGATCCATGAGCGGAACTCTGAATCTGGGGAGATGGATGAGGATGAAGTGAACAGTGAGTGAACAGTAAACCGCTTATCTTCCCTCCACATGTGAAACAAGGTCAGTCTTACTTTTCATCAGTGCAGAATAGTCGATTGTAACGGTACTAAAGCCAGACACTCCTCCGCTAGAAGAACCAGGAGGTCCAGGTAATCCAGGTGGCCCAGGGGGACCTCGAGCAATCCCTCTGTCTGAAAATGAAAACAGAAGCAGTTTGATTATTTGATGTAGACCAGGCACCAGCTCCAGGGTTGTAGATTTCTATTCAAGCCAACTGTGCTTACCATTCATGATGTTGAAGACGTACATGGCGACCTGCTCTGCACTGTAACTGCCTGAAAGTCCACCTGATGGTCCCTGTGGTCCTGGTGGTCCCTGTGGTCCTGGTGGTCCTGACAAATATCTCCTCACATCATCCCCTAGACAGATCAAAGCAGGGACATAGTTTAGTCTGGGGCGTCTTCTGAAAAAACAAGTCCTTACATGATTTTGTCTTCACAGTGAAATGAAATGATGTTGAATAATAAGATGTCAAATGAACAAAGGGGTTCAAAAGTCTGAGACTTTTCATGAGTGAGAACATGTGTTGTACTTACTCTGAAGCATGATGATGAGCTCACCAACCGATAGGCCTCGAGAGCCAGGTCCAGGAGGACCAGGTGGGCCTGGGGGACCCTGAACTCCGATGCTGAGGCCAGAACCAGACCCTGAAACACAATCAAAGATGGTTTCATTATCATAATTAAGCCCCACAAGTATATGTTCTCCATTTAGTGAATTCTGGTCGAAAAGCACAGGCTTACTTTGAATGTATGCAATAATACGGGTTGAGATGTCCTCCATTGAGCCAGAGAAGGTTCCAGGGACTCCTGGAGGCCCAGGTGGACCTGGAGGTCCAGGGATACTGGATTGCCGGCTTCTACCTGCATGCAACAAATTCATTTTTGTCAATAATCTGTTCCATCTCCTGACAGCCTGTGACCTCACTTCAGAACAACTCTTACTCAGATATTCAGTGATGTACTGGCGCATCTCAGAAGAAGAGGAGAAGGAGCCCGTCTGGCCTGGTGGACCAGGAGGACCTGGAGGACCAGGAGGGCCTGAAGTGACTGAGATGGAGCCTGAAGAGAAAAAACAATAGTAAGGACCTTGAAGAGGAGCAGAGATGTCCAACGTTAAAGCCAATGTAAAATATTGTCAGAGAAATCTAGACAATATCATTGTTTTTCTCTACCTCTTGAAGCACCCGGAATTCCAGGAGCTCCAGTGTCACCTTGGTAATGATAAGCAACGATAAAAGCATTTTAGGAGGATACAATATTCATTCTGAAATACAGATGGTAAAACACTGGGAACATTCACAGATTCCAATGTGATGTTAGGTTTACCTTTGATTCCTTGTGGTCCTGGATGTCCAGGAGGCCCTGGTGGACCTGGTGGTCCAGAGATCCCACTTCCTGCAGCATATGTCGATACTATAAAGAAGAAATAAATACAGTGACCATATATCATGATGTGCATTCTACATGAATACCCTCAGCACTTAATATAAAATTGATTTGATTATTTATGGTCAGTGTTAAACGTAAAAGTGGCCGACCTCTCTCAGAGCTTCCTGGTCTTCCTGGAGCACCGGGCTGTCCTGTTTCACCTGGGACACAAATGATCGATTAAATTAAATGATGCTGGAAAGGTCTGCTCACTGTGCACTGTTATATTACAGAAGTTAGTGCAACAAATACAGACGTAGTAAGTAAATTATGTAAAAATGAATGACACAAAGAAAATCACCTTGATAGCCCCTTGGTCCTTGAGAACCTATAATAATAATAATAGAGAGGTCATGATTAAGTGCTAACAGAACTAAAGGAGTGGAGTTGGTTTTAAATAAAGAAAAAGAGGCTCAGACCACCTCATAAAATCTGATCACCTGTTGATCCTTTAGGTCCAGGAAGCCCAGGTGGTCCTGGTGGTCCAGTGTAATATGTTCCTGTAAGAAGAGCAGGGTTGAATCACTGGTGTCACTGCATTCTGTATCCTTTTCTGTTACTTAGTGTGTATTATGACAGAGCATAGGTTTTAGATCATGGATCATACCAGAACTGGATGAAAAGCCTGACTCTCCTCTGTCTCCTTTAGGTCCTGGTCTTCCATAACCTAAAAAGAAAAAAAAAATTAAAAGTTCTACTCCTGGTTTTAATTAGACCCCTGAAAAATATTTGATTCCATTAAATTGTGTACTTGTTTTTATTGTTTCATTTCAAAATGAATGGTTACAAAATTAATTAAAAGAATTGCCTTATTTAGTATTCAATAAGCGTATTAGCCCCACCTCTATCCCCACCCACCAGTCTGCCACTCACCTGCAGCTCTGACTCTACTCATCAAACATTGTATCGTATAAAAAGCATAAAAATGAAATGTTAACATGGTTAACAATTGATTTTCATTGGAGACAGTCTTTAAAGTGAGACGCTAACCTGTCGGACCTGGAGGCCCAGGTGGTCCTGGAGGTCCCTGTCTCGAATCTCCTGATGAAAACATTCAGTTCAACAGTCAGTGACATATTTTTTAAGAATATTAACAAAAGTTACTGATGGAACAGAAGGAGGTCATTCTCTGATTGTGCTTAACAAAACCTACAAAAGATGGTCTTTTGATAATGCTGTGACATGTTGCGTCTTATTTACCTGGACGTCCAGGTGGGCCAGGAGGACCTGGTGGCCCTGGTAGGCTAGAAAATCTTAAGGTTCCACTTTCTCCATAATGACCTAAACCGGAATCAAACACATCTACTTTTAACCAATGAACTTTACTCTGATCTGTAGAAATGGACAAACCAGGTAAAAGTTTTATTTTATTTATTTATTTTATTCAGTTTTATTGCTTATAAATGCAACTTCTCTGATAACTTGTAAATAGTATATTGCTTTTAATGCAGATGATGTTACATGACAGATGCAGCAGGTTATTTCTCACTTCTAAACACTATGTCTAAAAACACTATAAATCTATATTTAGTAATATATAAAAAGTACTCACTCTCAGCTCTGGTTGAACTTAAACTCTCGGTCCTTCTCGCTGTTATTCCTTGTTCTCCCTGGTCTCCCTTATATCCTCTGTCACCTTTAGGACCTGTGAGAACAAACGAAATGCAGCATTGATTACATTCTGAGGATTGAATATCCCACCTTCAAGACAATAAAAGTGCGATGACCTACCAGGCTGGCCAGGCTGACCAGCAGGGCCGATTGGACCTGAAGACAGAGGGCAACACCACGGATACATTATTAAACAATTTAAAAAACATACAGTTATGGCATTCTGCAGAATGCCAGGGACATCATTAAGCTACTTTCTGTGGTGTTTAGAGTCAGACCTGATAATCCAGGAGATCCTGCAGGGCCGGGAGGACCAGCAGGCCCAGGTGGTCCTGGGATGCCAACAGAAGTGGAACCAGCTGAGAAATGAAGGCGATGGTCAGATATGTACATCAAAAGTTCAATCGATGGGATGTTACATTTCAATTTTGATCACGTGCTGTTACCTGCATTGATGATTCTGCCTGCTTGACCAGTTTCACCTAAAAACAAACAGTCACATGCAACATAAGATACAGAGTTCTATAATCAACAGCATGAGAACAGTGTCATTTAGAAAGCTGCAGAAGACCCTAGAGGCTGAGGCAGGAGTTGCACCTTTGGCTCCAGGATGTCCTGGATTTCCTGGTATTCCTAAAAGCAAGATGAAATTACATTTAAGTGTGAGAACATTAAAAACTAATATACTCTACAGTGTCTGTTGTGATCATGAAAGAGTCGTACCTGGTGGTCCTTGAAGCCCAGGTCCTCCTACAGGGGTGGGGGTGTATTACAAAAGTATGTCATCATACTATCCGCTGATGATAATATTTGTATTGTCAATGTTTCATCAGAGTGACGTCACTTTACCTGGAAGACCGGCGTCTCCGGGAGGCCCAGCAGGACCCCTGAGTCCAGGGGGGCCGGCAGGTCCTTGGTCACCTGAGGGCCGAAGAGAAAATGAAAATATGATTACTATTGATTTGAGGATTAATATTATTATTGGTAGTAGTAGTAGTAGTAGTAGTAGTAGTATGTGTGGAAGTTCATATTTTGTGTTGTGTAATTGTTGTGTAACCAGCATTGCATCTTCGTAGTCAATAATAGTAAATAATATAGTTAATAAAAGTAATTTACCTCTTGATCCTTTGGCACCATCTTGTCCAGAAAGACCTGATGACAAAAAGAGAAATAAAATCACATTGTAATTTATAATGTGTGGTTGTTTATGAGAGACCTCTCTTCTGCCCCCCTATGGAGGATCTCGTTATTGCCACTTAGAATTCTGTTGATTTCATTTAACATTCAGCTTCGGAAAAAGGATAAAGTTAAGTGAGGTATAAAATTTATCTAAATAAAATTCTCAGTGTTTAAAGTTTAGAATTAAATTACCACATTATTCTTTTAAAAAAGAAGAGGAAAACATTTGAGACTGTGAATAAATGAATTATCTGAGATTGGAGGTGTGGTAACTTACCCATTGACCCTTTGGATCCTTTCTCTCCAGCTGGACCATGCATTCCTGATATACCTGGGTCACCTGAGGAGTGAACGAGCTGAATTAGAAAACTCGTATTGCTGTTCGATGTACGTAACATGCCAACAAATATAGTTTAATATATAAAGACAAATTTCACTGACCTTGCATTCCTCTGACACCTTTCTCACCAGTTTCACCTGAAATAAACATTAAACCGTGATTAAAAAACACTGACCACTCAAGTCAAGTCACATGAAAACATGATGAAGTTACAACAAACCTTTAAGTCCTTGAAATCCAGGGAGCCCTCTGTCACCTGCAGAGTGAGAGGAGAGACTGTGAGTAACGTTAAAATCAATTAACTGTGAATTTCACTGTTTAACGAACGTGACCCACCTTTAGGCCCCGGTGGCCCGGCCTCACCACGGAAACCCTGAGCACCAGGTTCACCTGTTAAAAAAAGATCATGTTAAACATCAGGGATGACGTCATGGTATCGCTAAAAGTGCTTTATAGTTGGTGCTGTTACATTAAATAATGCTCAACTCAGGAGTCATTGTGATAAATGATATGAAGGCTAACAGGGACAAACTGACCTGGTGATCCGGGTGCACCTGAAGTAAAGATAAATCATTTTTAGACCCCAAAAAAACAAATTTATAAAAGTCTTAATATGATATTAACATGCAAAGCACTCATGTGGAATTAACACTGGGATTACAGTTAAAGTTGGTTTGTTTCTATTGATCCATCAAAGACAGGAGAGACACTGCATATGTGCACTCACACAAAAGTTAAATTATCTTTAAAGTCAAAACTAAAATGATTTAACTCAGCTGAACAAGACTGTGAGTGTCTTCATGTTTTAATCTTGTGTTTAAATTGGTTTGATTTTAGTTTAGATTTTTGTAAATGGATGGAATGAGGCTGCCACTAAACTGAATGACTACACTGCCACCTGGTGTTGGAGCATAGATTCTCGATTTTTATCTGTGCCAAGGAGGTTCTGTTTTTCTGTCCGTCTGTCCGTCTGTCCGTCTGTCCGTCTGTCTGTCCGTCTGTCTGTCTGCTGGATTACTGAAAAAACTACTGGACTGATTTCCATTGAATTTGGATGAGAGATGGGGCCTGGCCAAAAGATCCAGATAAACGGGGGATTCTGAACATTTATTCTACGTTTTATTTAAAGTCATTAATTTGAACATGAAAACAAAATGGAAAGGGTTTATGTTTAGTGACCTCACCTTTTGGTCCAGCAGACCCAACCCCAGCATCTCCAGGAGCCCCTGAGTAAACCAAACACATCAGATCATGAAGTGACTCATTGTCACTAAGTAAGTTACTTGCTGTTGATATCACTAATGAGTGTAAAGACTGAATCGGAGCCGTACCTTTGTCACCTTTCATTCCAAAGCCTGGAGGACCTGGCTCACCTCTGGAGCCAGTCAGGCCGTCTCGACCCCTGACACCCGGTTGCCCCTCCAGCCCATGTTCACCTGATCAGACATTTAACACACAGACACTCACTCAATTAAAGAAATGTGAAACAGTGAACTTGTATCACGTAGTTTGACCTGAAGAGATTAGTGTACCTGAGCTTCCTTTCTGTCCTTTAGGACCCTCTGGGCCGGCATGTCCCAACATACCTGGAGGACCTGAGGTCAAAGGTCACACTGAGTAAAACAGCATCATGATATCGCACAATAAACAATGAAAAAATGTAAAATACTGGTGATGTTAGTCATCTTCCTCACCTGGAGTACCAGGGTAACCAGCATCACCTGAGACAAGTGAAACATTTAAATAAGATGAGATCAGGGAAATAACAGAACAGAAAATATTTCTTGCAGCAAATGTTTTTGTTTCTCAACCTTTCGATCCAGTGTCAGAATAACAATAAAAATGAATGAGAAGAAATAAAGCACAAAGGAAATTTTAATTTCACCTTTAGGTCCAGGAAGTCCTCGCTCTCCCTGCGCTGAAGATACCAGAAACGCTGAAAAGGAAAACAATTGTTCAGTGAACATGCATCTAGTGTGAGAGTGTGTGTGCATGTATTTGTGTGTAAGCGTGTTCATAAAATCTCTCTGTGTCGTACCTCTGAATGTCTGTGACTGCATTTCAGCTCTGAGCATCTGCTGAATCATCGCCTGGAAAGAGGCAGCGTCAACGTGTCCTCCACTCACACCAGTACCAAAGCCACTGAAGCTGGTGCCTGTACTGCCGGAGGTGCCGCTGAAGCTGGTGCCGGCACCTCCAGCGCTGCCACCACCAGCAACACGGGCACCACTGACACTACCGGTACCACTGGCAACACGGGCACCACTGGTACTACTGCTGTCACTTCCAGCACCGGCACTGGCAGCACCGGCACTTCCAGCACCGGCACTTCCAGCACCACCATAGCCTTCCCCGTTGATACTGATATCATTTCCACCTCCACCTGTGGAGCCGGCAGCACCAGCTGCAATTCCAATTCGTGTTTTGGAGCCTGAGCCTCTACCTCCAGCGTCCAGGTATACTGTGCTGTCAGTGCCGTCACCACCTCCTCCAGCTCCACCTCCACCGACCACAAGCAAGTTGTTGTTGGAATCAGAAGAGCCTGACAGCCGACTGGTACGCGCTGAGACGGACGACTCGGCCTCCAGGGTAGCCACTCGATTCTTCAGCTTTCTCACGTCCTCAGCTGGAAGAGGACATCAACAGTTGTTAAAACAGACTGTACAGACAAGGAGCACACACTCGTTCTCAGTCTGTTACGTGACAAACTAATACAGTGTCTTCCACACATTAGATTATAATTGTTCTACTCTCCTTCTTTTTACTGTAAATGTGATTATTATATATTCTCTTTCACGTAAAGCATCTTGTGTAGATTAACAAGAGAGTAAGTTATAGTTTGTGTATTTTGTCGTTTGTTATAGGACTATGTTGAACAGTGAGATTTCACACGATCCTGAAGTTACAGCTACAAACCTCATGCTTGAATTTTGCGACCCTTTCTTTATACTCACTGTATTAACTGTGAATGATCTGCAGTATCAGGTGACTTTACTATATGTGCTAATCAGTCAATAAGTGATCCACAGGTTTTGAAATAGAAAATCTGAGGTTGTCAGGTTGTAAATATAGTTTCAGGCTCTTTTTGTCATATTTCATTATTAATAAAATCCACATCCACAACTCTCCTGCTGCAAGAAAACAAAACGAAGTCTCTGATGTCATGCGGCAAAACTTTCTGGAGCTGCTCCACTGACAGTAAATGCCAGACCAACTTCATGGCAGCGGGACAGTACCCAGAGATCCAATCTCCAGCGAGAGGAGAACGTTTCCTCCCCTCACAGCTCTTAGCAGCACGGTGAAATAATACTCACCAGCCTGTAAAAGCCTAAACACACATTTTATTGCTTCAAATAAAATGGTCACTCCCAGTTTCGGCATTGCAGAGCAGCTCCGGAGAGAATCTCATGATTCGTGAGGTTTTATTTTTCCCTGTTAAATCTCATAGTGTTGCATCAAGTGAAACTCACCCAACGCGATGAGGCCGAAGAGAAGTCCCAGCAGGAGGAGGGAGAGGAGGAGAAGGCCCAGCAGCCACTTCCACCACGAGCAACAAGCGTCGGAGCAGCAGCAGAATCCACCGCCGCCGAAGTTGCCGTCGTCCCTGTGGATCTCTGGAGACAGAACACAGAATAAAATCCTCACATTCAAACACTAAAATATTCATAATCATGTAAATATCAACACACATGCGATGAGAAATACCTGCATAGGTGGCTTTGTCTTTCATCACAACTCCAGAGGATCCATCTGATGAACAAACAAATACACATCAACGTTTTTTCTTTATAAGAAAAGTCATTTCTTGTTGTTAGAGATGTTCTTGATGAGCTGCACTCACAGTAAGTGTTGCCTGTCTCAGACTTCAGTGGAGCCGTCTCACTGTAGCTGGAAATAAGCTTCTCTTTCTTTATTGAATCTCCCGATAGTGACCCTGTGAAAATAGAAATACTGATTTTAAGAAACACTTTTATCAAATTTACAGTGTATGAAGAGGAAAACTGAAAATCCAGCCTTGGTTCACAACATTGCATCATGTAAATATTAAGAAACAATGTTAAAGTGACAGACAAATAATTGTTATCCCAGAAGGGGGCAGTGAAGATCTGCCTCACCTCCTCCTACATGAACGCTGCTGCTGCTGGTGAACTGCTTCCCGCTGTCTTTAGCCAGAATGAGCCTCTCTGTGTCCCTCTTAGCTGAAACGTTCTCTTTCTCAGAGATCAAGTACTTGTTCTTATACGTATCATCAATTTGAGTTCGAGTGACTGAAAACAACAACAATAAACCAAAAGACGTGAATCGTTATCATTGTTAGAATTAGAGAACTTTTTTGATGATGGTAACTTCATTTCAGATAAAAGAGGATTTCTGTTGTGGTCTTTACCTGAAGAGACTCCAGAGCTGACGACACCGGTCGCAGTTGACACATTTTTCTGAACGCCATAACCTGAACAGTAAGGAAGACACTTCTTGCACAAAAATGTAGAAAATATTTGAAAATGTCAAAATATTGTCAGAAAACAGGCTTCCATACCTCCAACGTTGGCGCTGACGTTGGCTCCACTGGTGGTGAGCACGGTGCCGGTGGTGGGCGCCAGATTATTCTGAAAGCCGTAAACTGAAAACAGAGACACACAATCTGACTTGAAAAACATGCAAACATAAAAGATAAATAAGATGCACCTTTAGGGTTTTAATGTTACAACAAGTAGAAGAAAATGAAAGAGAAAAATAAACATAAATTAATAAATCTCACATTGGAAATGAACATTCACACAAAAATTCAATAAAATAAATATGAAAAGTATTTGCAATACAAATAACGAGTTGACCTGAAGAATAATAAACCGTTTAAAAGTGAATATAACTTAGTCACAGATTCAGAACAGTGCAAATTGGGATTTTAAATTGTTTGTTTTGTCTAGAAAATGCACACAAAATCTACAATGAAAATCATATAATCATCTTATTTTAGAAGCTGGGAGATTTAAGTTATACAGAACTGTAAAACATGAGCATGAGGAACTTTTTTGCTCAATTTCAACAACACAAGTTTGAAAATAAGACAAGAATACAGATCTTAATGCATGATGAGAACTGATCAGTGTAAGAAAACACATTAAACAATGTATCCCTCTGTATGAACAAATGTGTCTAAATTTGAGAGTGGTCGTCATAATCTGCTATTTTAAAGAAGAGATATAAAGCGTGTGCTTGTTTTTATTTTTCATTCCTACGTTACAAACGAGAGCATTTCACCTGCAGGTAACAGGTGATGTTCACTGGATGCTGCTCTCACCTGACAGGGACGAGGGCGAGGTGGGGCTGAGCGGTGAGACTCCTCCAGACCTGTTGTTGGTGCCGACCTGGTACGAGTGGCTGCTGGTGTTGCCGGTGACCACCATGGCGGAGGGGGAGGGCAGCGTGGAGGTGGACCAGGAGAAAGATGGAAGTACGGTGTCCAGCGTGTCATATTCACCTGATCTCATGCTGCCGCCGTACTGACCTGATCTCACACTGGTTTCATACTGGCCCAGTTTTACACCAGTATCATACTGTCCTGACCTCATGGAATCATACTGGACTGATTTCACACCAGTGTCATACTGCCCTGATTTCACACCAGTGTCATACTGCCCTGATTTCACACCAGTGTCATACTGCCCTGATTTCACAGTGACATCATAATGGCCAGATTTTACAGCAGAATCAAACTGTCCTGATTTCACACCAGTGTCATATTGGCTTGATATCAGAGTGACATCGTACTGGCCTGATTTTACGCCAGAATCAAACTGCCCAGATGGCAGACTGGTATTATACAGGCCTGAAGCATCAATGGTGTTGAATGCACCGGTTCTCACACCAGAGCCAAATGCAGAAGACACTGAAAGAGAGAAAAAACACAGAAATCAAGAAGAGATCTTATTATATCTTATTTATGTTTTTATCATTAAATAAGATCAAATTACAATTCTATCCTTTGGTTGATGTATGTGAGATGTAGTTTTCTTTTCTTTTATACTTTTTATTCACCTGTTTTATTTACTTATTTCTATTTATTTGCTATTTTTTTGTATACCTTGACTCTTACAATATGGATACATTAAATATCATTACGATTAATATTGAACATCGTTGGAGAGGGAGCCCTCACTTGTGAGTCTCTCTAAGGTTTAAAAAAAACTTATTCCGAATCCTGGCTCTAGTCCAAGGCAAAGGACAGAGGATGTTGCACCTTGTACAGATTGTTAAGTCAAACTGTGATTTGTGAATATGAGCTCTAGAAAATGATTGATTGGTTGTATAACATCTTTTCCATGTGTGGTCCAAAAGTACTAAAGAGATTCTGGGTACCAGACAAAATATAGAACAGGACTCTTCCAGGATTTTGGAAATACTCCAACTAAGCCGTGTATTACATAAGCAAAATGTCACCAAGGAGCTTATATGTAATGGGAGGCACATAGCGGGGCCCTGTTAAACCATAAATCTCCAGACCATCTCAGGGACACCTCTGGAGACATTGTGTCTGTGCATGTGGAGTATGCGCGTGTGTGATTCTATACCCGACTGCGTGGCCACAGAGACGGTCTTGGCTTCCGCGCTGACCTTCTTAGGGAGAGGCAGGGTGGTGGAGGCGCTGGACGAGCGAGTGGGGCTGACGCTGCTGGAGCGTCCCTTCAGCAGCTTCTTCACGTCGTCCAGCTCCGTCCCTGCAAAGACACAGACGCACCAACAACACTCAATGCAGCACCAATGCAGGGATATCTCTGAGAATTGAATGTATGAGTTCAATAGTAGTACTGTAGTTTAATACAATTTTGATGTACTTCTAAGATCATGCTACTTCTACTTAACAATAATGGAATTGAATTAAATGTATGTGCGAGACAGACACACAGGCCCACAGACACACAGGCCCACAGACACACAGGCCCACAGACACACAGGCCCACAGCTCTAACTACAAAAGTAGTGTGGGTGTTTTTTTCTTTTACAGTAAAAGTTTATTTTTAGAAAAGTAAAGTATACGTTCTGCATTCATCTTCTTATTCAGAATCACAATAACAAAAACAACTTAGGTTATACTTCAAGAATAAAAGTAAAAATGTGGAACATTTTCATAATATTACACAAATTACTATGTAAGCAGCACTTTTTATATTGTAGCTGGGAGAGATGGGACCAATTTTAATAACTTTTTATATGTCTGGGTTGTTGCGATGCATCATGTGCTATTAGCTATGTTTTGTATATTTGTGTCATTACCTGTCAAATAAATGTAGTGGAGTAAAATGAAACACAATGCAAAGTATAAGTACATCAATTATACTTAACAAAGAGAACTTAAAGGTACAGTGTGTAGAATTTTGTGATATCTAGTGTTGAAGTTTCATGTTGCAGCTGAACACCCCTCACCTCACCCTCTCCTTCCAAACATGAAAAAGAACCTGTGGTAGCTTCAGATGTCATAAAAACTCAAAAGGTGTTTAGTTTGTCCAGTCTGGACTAATGTAAAAAACATGGCGGCTTCAGTAGAGAGGGTCCCCTCAATGTAAATATAAAGTATTTAAATATAAAGAGACTTTTCTGGGGTAAAGAAAACTACAATTCATAGAATTTAGATGAAATGAACTAGTGAAAACATCATGTGTTGGTGCTACATTAAATTTCTGCCAATAGTTTCCTTTCACCTAAATCTTACACACTGGACCTTTAAATAAAAGTACGTGATTATATTGCTTGGCTGTTTTTTTGTTGTTGCAATTATAACTTCAGCAAAATAACTAAATTCTTCTGAAAGCACAGAAAAAGCTACAGGGCAGAATGAGACCCACCAGCTGAGGTGGGGTGAAGGTGGCACAGAGCGACTGGTGTAGAAAATGTGGACTAAATAACGGCACTTTACATTTTAATCAGCAGGGGGCGCAATCAGCGTCTATAAAAGTCTGTCTCTCAATTGTTTTGCCTCAAATGGGACCAGTGACTCATGTGTGCCGTTGTTGGCACCACAGACCTGCCCCTTAATGTCCTCCACCACATAAACACTATTCACACAAACCCATGAGCCTTACACTTGAAACCCCCTGCTTCTCTCTCACTGCACTGTATCTTCTGTCTGCAGCTGCATAACCACTTGAAATTACATGAACATTAGCAGGTAAGTGAGTGGAAGACAAAGAACGCACCACATGTGATCTACTTAATACTTGGCCAAAGTATTTGACAGTAACTTAATTCAGTTAAATAAAAATGTTGGTCTAAAGTGACCCTGCAATAAAGATTCTGAGAGGTTCCTTGCACGAACACTCTCGGATAAAGATGCTTTGTTGCTTTCTGAGGAATTGCGTAACTGACAGAGAGTGAATCCAAGTGGTCTTACATCTGCCGGCGGTGGGAGAGGCACTTTGTAATCTGGCTCTGATCTCGCTCTCTGAGAAAAAAAATCACAATGGAAGAAAGGATTCCAGATTTACTCAAATGTAAGCCAGGACAATTCCAAGTCACGTGATGCAGAAACTATTAGTGAATACCTCTGCTTTCGCTCCTCCCTCTTGCACCGCTGGAGCCTGAAGAAAAAAGGGAAATACATATGTACAGAGCGACATGTTGGAGATAAAGCTGTAAAAACATTGAGCAATCATAAAGTATTGAATCCCACACAGCTGTCACTTTCACTTACAGTAGTTTCCATAATCTTTACGAGTAAATTCTGGGGAGGAATTTGCACTGGAACTTCCTAGAAGGCAAAAACACAATCGTTAAGCAGAAATACAAACAGCTCCCTTGTGCCGCAGTTTCCTTTCTTTTTCTTGAATGTTCTGTATCAAACACTGCTGATGCCAACTGTTCACCGCCTGTGTTATTAACAGGATCTCACCGTCATAACCTCCTGAGCGGCTGGTTATAATCGTCCTCTCTCGGAAACCTGGCGACAGGCCTCCTGACGAGCCAGCGGTCTGTGCTCTCCTGCCACCGCCTGACGAGCTGGACCTGACCTTTGACACCGAACTCACGAGATAACTGCCCCCGCTTCCTGCTTTTCCTGCTCTTCCTCCTCCTCCTCCTCCTCCACCTCCTCCTCCTCCTCCGCTTCCGTACCCATCTCCATCCAAGAAACTCCCCAGTCCTCCATCGCCTCCCCCTGAGGAGTCTCCCCCCAGGTAAACTCCTGAGGAGGAGCTGTAGCTGTTGGTGTTCACACCGACAGAGGCTGCAGGGACAATAAGGACATGGTTCATTTACAATGAACTTCTCCACAGCACGAATGTACAAACAGGAACAGGCCTCGGCCACAAAGAAGTCACCTAAAAAGTAACTGAGTACTTATACTGATGTGCAAAGTTGAGGAATTGTACAACTTGCATTTGGTGATTAAGATCAGATCCTTGACTTAAGTAAAAGTACAAATACCACAATGTAAAAGTACTCCATTACAAATAAATATCTTGGTGAAGTAGACAAACTTGAGTAAGAGAACTTGATCCATGTGATGATTGTTAAAACCGATGCATTCATGTGTTTGCAGTATTTTACAGTTGTAGACACTGGTTTAAATACTTTATTGAGTTTTCATGTGTAGTTCTGTGGGTCCCAAACTATGATTATTTTCTCGCTCACTTCATTCCCTGCACTCATCATAAATGTAAAACAAGCAGTGAGAAATGTACATTATAATTACCCATAATTCAAAGCAACATTTGATCAGACGTTTTGTTTTTACAAAACTCAAACTGATTCACTTCACTGTAATTTAAGACCGGAAAAAACCCAAATTGTCATATTTGAGGAGCTGAAACCATGAAATGTTTGGATGCTTTAGTATGAAAAAATTACTTAAATTATATCATCAGTCGCTGACATTTATTTCTACAGCTCATAAATGTTTTAGCAGTTCTTTATTTTGCATATTTAATCTAAATTTGTAAAGTAACATGTACCTGTAATCTTTACAAAAATAGTTAGTATTTAGTGACATTCAGATTCTGTATGAAAATAGTGACTTAAGTGGCTCCACCTCGGCAGATACAACAGTAAAATACTACTTGCATCACAAACAACAGTGTTATTCTATATTACAGTGTGACACTCACACAGTCCATTTCTGCATTAAACATTTTTACTTCTGATACTTAAATATTTGGTTCAAAACATAAACTTCTACTTTAGTAACAATGAGTAAACTGACAGTTTTTAAAAACTGCGAATCTTTACCCGAAAGCCAAAGTTAGTTTTAGCTTTTTTTCTAGTGGGTGGTGAACGTTTGTTTAAAGACAAATGCAGGACTTCCTAATTTCGGCCTTTGGTTGGAAATGTGCTCTCACATGAGGAGAAATAAGTTCCACTGCTGTTCTGGGTTAAGACATTCTTCTCCAAGCCCAGCCCTCCAGCACTGCTGGACATATTCCTGTGATTTGATCCGCCGGTTCCCTCTAGCAACGAGAAGACACACAGCAAAACAGGGAGAAGCCGTTACTCATCGGGAACTTCCTCCAGAGACGCTCGGCTATAATTATTGTATTATGCCTTTAGTTTACTGACAGTAATTAAAGCGAGAAGGAATGAAAGAGAGAGACACTCACTTGGAGGGAGGGAAGTCAGTCTCCTAGTGGTGGTTATAGTTTCTGTCACAACTGATGAAAAGAGAGAAAAGTATTAGTCTGTACACGCACAGCTCTTAAACTCTTATTCCTATATATCATTCAAGTGTCCACATGTTAATCCTGAATGACAGGTGCTGAGTGGAGTGTTGAGTGACACGTATGGTGAAGACTTTTACACTTCCGCAGCTGAATTTATGTGACTTAGAGATAATGCTTTATATAGCAGCTATAAGCCTCTAATGAGAACGCCACGATCAGGTTACTTATCTTTCTTCAACAGGACTAATGTTTGTTTCTTTAGCTTCTCTGATTACATATTTACAACCGATTAACATTACAACCACACCCTTAAGGATTAATACCATCATCATTTCAATAAAAATAAAGCATTAAATTATTCTGATGATTTATTAGAGAGTGAAAACGTTTTCTAAGTCGCTGTATTCAGCCTTTAAAAGCTCACAAATAAAAAACCCAAACAGAAGTAAATAAAGATTGAAAGTGTTTATAAGTATAGTGTAGCTGTAAGATGATACGTCTTTAGTGGAGCATCATGGACTCCACCTGTTGGCAGCCATAAGTGAAGTCTGAGTAAACAGATGATGAATGACAACAGTAAAATAGCTGTTATTATTATAACGTGGTTATTTTTATCAGACATGAGCGAGCATCTACTCGTATGTTAGATGTTGTGTCTGTTTACACGGTGGAATACATAAATAGTTAAGAGTTAAGAAATAAATCGTAGCTTCCTCAGTGAGTTTAATTTTGTTGACAAATACTGTAGAAGTAATAAACACTAATACATTTCTGTAAAAAGGAAAACAACTACAGAATAAAGTGCTTTTCATTTTCTAAATGTTTGCACTGATTGGAAACAAACAAAGTTGGAGGGCTTCAAGTAAAGAGTTACTTCTAATAACCTTTTACTTTGTACATTTTACATTTACATTGTACAGATGACTTTCTATTTTTATGTTACCTTGTGTTTGTGTTGTTTAATCACTGACTTCCTGATTTATACTCTTATTGAACGTGTACCTTCACTATCCCCTTGGCTGCTCTCACACTGTTAGTCAATGTATTAAATGACAACTAGATTATTATTTTTAATTGTGCCCAACAAAACAAGATTTTGTGAAAATGTAGAGAGCTGAGTACAATTACTTGGGTTTGTTTATTCTGTTTCATAACCAAGTTGACTAAACAGAGAGATACATTCAGGTTTATTTGGATGATGTAACACATTCTTGTCAAAATAAAGAAAAAACCCTTATAAATCACACTTAATTAAATGCCAAGTAGATTCATAACAAATATCAACTAAATCTTCAAAACGACTTTGAATCTTTTCTGGGGGTGTCACAGATTTTTAATTGTACTTTGACAAACATTTCTCAGCATAAGATGAAACTTACTGGTACTTCCCAGAGCTTTCAGTCAAACCCAGAGGCAGATGGAGTTTGATCAGATGGTTACTGTCATGAACTTAAGTTACATATATGTGATATTTTAAACATTACAATAGCAGCAGGCGTCTCTTTTCTAAAGACATGGTGTTGTACTGTAAACACACCTGCCCACCATGGTGCACAGTGGCTACACCTTTACATCTATGCTCTAACCCTTTAATGCAGTGTGGCTACGCAAACAATGCTAGCCATGCTACATAGCAGCTAACAGCTCTGCATGCCCGATCAAGAGTGAACTTTAACCGAGAGCATCCCTGACGTGAGTTTTAAAATCATGCGTTTATCAACTGAAGTGTCTGATATGGTCTGACAGAGACAGGAGCACCAAGTGAGACACATGAGAGGTTTGTGTTGTTGTTGTTGTTGTTGTTGTTGTTGTTGTTTGCGCTCTAGTACACAGTGTAGCTGTGCTCCGCTGTGTTTTTGGTTTTGTGTTTGGAGTTGTGTTGACTGGGCTTCGTAACATCCACAGATTTTACAGACAACATCTTGCTGAGAGAGGTGGGAGGTGTTTATGAAGTTGAAAATGTCTCAGTCCGAGATGATGGGTGACCTCTAGTGGTAATAGATGTCATATATAAAAGCTTAACGACGTCCAAACCCTCTCTGTGAACGCTCTGGAAAACTTTCAGTAAGTGGATCTGACTATTTCTGAGATAAATAGAACCTTAATGCTTGAACAGTTTTTTAGGTCTATAGAAATACTCAGTATAGAATTTTGAATTTGTGTTGTGGACTACTTTAATAAGCAGGATTTTACAAAACCAGATTCAGACTCTACGACATGATAGACCTAAACAGCTTTGTAGCTTTGTTTTGAAAAGAGCAGTATATAGATTAAGTTTACGGTTGTTACCATTATTAGTCACATAACGTACGTAGCTGGTTGAACATTGCAAAATACAAAGGGGGAAATTACTGAAATAAAAGGTCATTTCAGGTCATTCATCATTGACTAGAGGCAGATAATTAAGATTTATTTTAACTCTCTTCTGCCAAGGGGACTCTTGTTCTGCAGCTGCAGCCGTTTGAGTTTTCCTGGATTCAGTTATAGATAATGTAAATTCCATTTCAATTTCATTCTGCCTCCTCACTCTTGTCCTTCTCCTCCTCCTCCTCCTTTTAGGGACTTCTGTCTGCTTCGGAGCCAAGGCTGAACACTAACAGTCATCGGTGATCACACTTTTACTGCCAGGACTTTTAGAAGAGAGACGAGGCAGATAAATCAATGTATGAAAAGCATCTGAAACTCGCTTGTGTTATGACCCTCCAACTTTATTTACTGTGTCCAAACCACATGATCTCGTCTCTGTCTCTTGTTTTCTCTCTTTCTCTCGTCTTTGCGATAAACCATGGGTGTGAAAAGTGCTACATAAATTTAAAATGAGAGGTGAACAGGAGGCCAGAACGGCTGATTGCATGTTCGTCTTGGTTGGCGTCAAACACATAATCAGACATTCCTTGACCTCTCCATCCTGTGCTGGGCCAAGATGAGCTGTCCTTATATTCAGCTATGGTGACGGCAGGAGGAAAACCCAGAGGATGACTTACTCCCTGAGAAATGGTGCAGACATGCGATAAAGTTAGTGACAGTAAAGCCCCCGAGAAAGAGAGACAGAAGCGTCACCCAAGAGAAGGATGCAGGAATCCAAAAGTGTTTTGGGGTCTTTAAGCTCAGATTTCCTCTCCACCAGTCTGTCATTAAATCAGAAATCATAGTTTTATACCTCTTCCTTTGAGATCTGAAGAAAATCAAACATAGTTTTTGGAAAAGATTAATTTATTTAAATGTGTTTTTAACACTTTAAATAAATAAATATAATTTCCATTGTGGTGACATTTGACCTATTGGAACCAAAAGTATCTGAATTCATCTCCAGCAGAGTATTTTTTCTGAATTGTGTGCACTGACCCTTTACTGCGATTTTATTTACCTCTGTATCGCTTTGTTTATTGTTTTCAAAACTTTATAAACAAAAGCAGAAGTCTCACCCCTTTCTCCAGACAAGTCTCCGGACAAGTCTCCTGACAAGTCTCCTGAGAAGTCCATCTGTCTTGTTAACTCGTCCATCCCATCTTATCTGGTGAGATGATAAAACGTTGGCCACGGTCATCCATACAATGAGCAAACTGTAGTCAAAGGCCTGTTTATCCTTCGACAAGTAACTGTGGTCAAATGGCATCTAAACAAACATCTGATGGGAAAAGGGCAAAAAAATGTCCAGCTTGTTGCCAAGAACGAGTTGGGTTTAGGACCAGAACGCTTTTAGTCTGATGTTTACTGCATCAATTTGAGGTTTTATAACTCTGAAGACGGAAAAACAGCATCACACCAGTCTCATGACTTTATAAAAATCACAATCTAATACTGTAGTAGATCCAGATTTCACTTGGAACAACTTTAAATGATCTTAATAAAGACAGAACATCTGCAGGAGTCAGCTAAAAACATTCCAGACACATGTGAACAGTTAACTCCAGAAGAAAGGCCCCAGTGGGTATAAAAAGCATCATATACAGATTTCAATAGATGGTATTTACTTTTGAGTCTTTTGAAGAACAGACTAACAAAAGGACAAAAGAAGCCATTGGATCAGGGCACGGCTTTCCTATCACCACACCCTGCCATGGACATTTAACCACTGCCTCATCTACAGAACACTTTTACCTACTTTCATTATGAAACTTGACATTAAAAAAAAAGCAGAAACTCACAAAGACGACATTTTCCCTCGTTCCTCAAATCATCTGGTGCTGATATAACACTTTTCAGCCAGCGAAGGGCAACAATCTAAGTTTCTCTCAGTGCATTTGCAATTCTCAGTAAATCCAAAGCTTTACTAAAGTTCACACAAAGCTCAGTAACTGATCTTAGCAGCAAATATAGACTTAAAGGCTCCTGTCACTAAAGTCTGCATGGGGCCATCTCCTGCAGTATATTTAGAGGGATGCAAATAGCCCAGCAGGAATACCTGTAAAACTATCCAAGTGTCTATAGATACCGTCGGGAGAGAAAAATGATCCCAAAAAACCCCCTGCTGGGTTTTACAGTCAGGCAGATGTGTCACCTACTTGCGGTTTGTAATTTATAGCCCTCAGTAAAATGGACTTTGCGCAATTCCATCCATTAAAATTCATCTGCATGCGCAAAAAAAGAAAGTTGCCAGCCCATCACCAAATTCCAACAGTGCAGTTGTTAGTACCAGAGGCGCAAAGAGCCATGTGGGAAGGAAACATCCAGCAAACACAAGTTAAAACACAATAAAACAGATAAGAAAGTCTCCATGTCCGCTGATCCATACCTGCAGCCAGCTCCAACAAACACCCAAATCCTGAATCCTCTCCCAGAGACAAGAGCGACCAATGCCGTCCACTGGAGGAGGAGGAATAATAATAATGCGTTTTAACGAGTTGAACTTGGTGCGCGCTGGTGGTAGAGGAGGTGGAGGAGGTGATGGGGTGTTCTTAAAGTCCTCCGTCCTTTTGTGCTTTGACTCGAAACTTTCTCAGGGCAAGTCAAAACAGAGATTTGGGACTTGGACACCGGTCCCTGCAGCCGCGCCCCTCAGCTCCAGAACTTGGCAGGCTGGTGGTGGCAGACTGCAAGAAGTTTTAATATGGATTAAAAAAAACAACGCCTGAAGGAACCAATTATGTTGTCAGAGACAGATAGTCGAGTGAGCTGAGATGAACTCCTCCTCCTCCTCCTCCTCCTCCTGCTGTTGCTGCAGCCTCTCCACTTTTCAAAAGTGGCAAAGTTTTGTTAGGTGTTTTTTGGGGAGGTGGGATTTTTTTTCCTTTTGTTGTTTTCTTTTTTTTTTCTTTTCAGATTGTAGTGTGGGAGTGAAACCATTTCAGGGTCTGCTGAGCTATTGTGAGCAGTAAATCCATCTCACTGCAACAGCTGGAACACATCTGGAGCGCATATTGGAAGTAGAAACGGAACATTCAGACTATATGGTTTCAGCCACTACTTACATAACCCAACAGTGTTTTTACCACACATACAGAGTATTTCAGAGACAAAAGAGCAGGGAAGTCTCAGTAACTTTGACTGACTGTAATCCTGCAGCTTGTTTGTGCAGCTGATGAAGGATCTGTTTACACAGATTAGGAATCATCCAGATGATTCTCTCCGGAACATGCAGCATCAGTCTGCACCACAAGCACACGAACTTCCATGTGAGAGAGTGCCCAAACTGTTTTTAACTGTGTGACCATAATATAACTTTCCTATCCATTCATTTGCATTTATGCAATTTTGAGCCAAATTAGATGCTTTATTCTTCCACTGGCGGCCACAAGCACCAGTAGGAGTCTTCGCCTGCCACACCCTGCATCGACATCCACCCACCCTGCATGACTCACAGCCAGTATGACTCCAATCTGCCCCAATGATGGAAAACAAATGGCCCCAAGGACAGTAAAAGAGAGGAGGAGCAGCTCTCTCACATCTATGTGCAAGGTTGAATAATGCCAAGTCTAACAGAAAAGGAGGCCTGGTATTCAAATTCCAGACTCAAGAAGGAAAAGGATTTTAAAGAAAGGAGTGAACAAGCCTGTGAGGATAAAACACACTCAGCTTTACAGATAAGGGCTCATGATTTCTCTGGGGGAAGTTTCAAAAGGGACCAAATGAGGTGGGCAGCAAGTTCAACAGGAGTTCATAACACAGCAGAGGACTTAAACATAAGTTTCTTAAGAAGACGCCTTCGCATTATGTGTCTATGTGAAAGTGACTCTTTGCGGGAGAGAGTTGCACAGGAACTGTTAGTTTATGAGTCAGACAACATCATTAACTACATGAGATCTGATAAAATAAACAATGTTTGTGATGTTTTACTTGTTACTCTGGATTATGTCTCTGGGGAAATCTCAGGCACACACTTGTCTCTCCAAACCAGAAGTGGCTCCACTTTGAACAGTTATGGTTGATGTTCATGATTTTTACAGAGACAAAGGTGAGGCTCGACTTTTGTTGATGTCACACTATAAAGATGATAAAACTCTTCTCAGGAAGGCAATGAAATCCTTTTGTTGGACAAAAGAGGGGGTCAGCTTTAGACTTTACTGCTTTTATATTTTTACCTGGATACAGAAAGTGAAAAAGGCAAAATATAGAATTAATCCATGACATTTATTTAAGTTTTTTTAAATTTCAAATGATTAGAATGTTATTTTCAGAGAACAAGAGTTCTTCTAAGTTGAGGATGTTTTATTGAAATGATAATGTATTGTTTGGTATGATCTCTGAGAGGATGCCAGTTTTAATTCATTTTTAGCAGTAATATTATTATTACTTCACTCTTTGACACCAAAAGAAAAAGCGTCTCTCGCTCAGGGGGATATTACAGCAGTTAGGCTACAGTTCAAATTGCTATTTCGAAAGCATCATATGTTTCTCAGTTATAGTTCTGTTTCACAGAGAACATTTAAATAGGTCAATAGGGAAAAGCACAGATGTAAATCATAGAAGTTTGAAGTTCTCTTCAGTTTTAGGGTCCTGGCTCATTGTCTCTCAAAATATCTGCTTTCAGTTGGTCTCAGGAAATTTCACCTCTGAATTTCCAACACAGAAAAAAAACTATATTAATCAAAGTAGGCTCTACATTATTAAGTAATTTTGTGGCGGTGTCTTGTCGACAGGCCCCGTGTTTAACACTTGTCAGCAGATCTTTATCACGCTGCCATCTAGAAATCATGTTGTGTAAGAAGATAAGAAAACATCCACGGATGAGACACTGGCACAGCATGAAATGGAAAGTCTCAGCCGATGACAACAACAACAACAACAGGTAGTACCACCTGGGAATCACAATACCAACTGCTCCATACAAAACATTATCACCCATGAAAAGAAGTGCCCTGATTGCAGTCAATCACTTCTTCACCAAATCAGAGACAATCCAAGAAGCTGATGTCTTTTCTGTTGTGTTTGATAGAATCTCTTCCTTACAACATGTCCTCAACTTACCACATTACATTAAAGGGTGTCTTTAGAGCCCTAAGGCCGGTATGTGCGCCCCCACCATTCACACCTACATCTGATGAAAGCTGGCAGCCACACTCAGTCTCACATTCCCTTTCTAGATTCTATAAACCTGAACCATCATCATAGTCATTTAATGTGAACCGCTGAAGAACGAGCAAAGCAGTCATATCAACTATTCACAGGTTTAAAAACATCACCTGACTCAGACTCAGTATTTATCTCCAAACCTCAGCCATGCAAGATTCATCCCTATAAAATGTAAAAAAAAAAAACAGAAATCTTAGTTCCCCAGGGTGTAAAATATCAGACAACGGCTGACACTCAAGCCCGGGCAGGATCAAGGTTTGATGAACACCTTTTTCCTTGTGGCTAAAAAAGAGAGACAATTAAAAAACTTCTGGATATCAGCACGAATCTGAAAGCAAGATCAACATGAACAGAAACCTTCAAACAAATCCTGTAATAGAGATGAATCAACCGATGAGTAAAAATGAATCACAAATATGACTCAAGGCTTTGAACAGAGGGAACACTCGGTCAACACCCATGTCTCCACGAGGTCACAGAAAAATCTCTTTTCACCTCATTTGAGGTGTTTATTTTGTGAAACTGAAGCTGGATCTGTGTTTCTTATTTTAACATGACTCTATTCTCAAAAAAATTATTTTATTTATGTGTTTAATTTACTCTGGGGTGTATTGAACAGAAGCATATTGCTGGAAAGCCAGAAAAAGAATACGGTGAT